GATTTTAGCGCGTTTATTACGGTTGTAATAATCATTTTGAAGCAAATCTAATCGTAAGCATTAAAATAATAACAATAAAATATTATAACATTGCTACTGTATTATATTTCAACTATCACTACATAGTATAAAGTAAAGTCGCTTTTTTTTCCGGTCCCTTTGTTCGCTTAAATATTTGAAACTACGCAACGGATTTTGATGCCGTTTTTTTTAATAGATAGAGTGATTCAAGAGGAAGGTTTGTATGTATAATAACATCCATTAAATAGTGGAGAAGTACTGTTATTTTTGAGGTTTCTAATGTGATGTAAATACAAAGTTTTCGATTATTCCCGTCTGCTCTTTGTGCGATGCTTCGTAGCTTCCCCCTCCAAGCATAGACGTGTGTATGTGGGTACGTGTGGGTTGAAGTTGACCGGTTGATGTTTTTGTTTGGAGAAGGAAAGTCGCTTTCTCTGTCTGTCTCTTTGTATGCTTAAATCATTGAAACTACGCAACGGATTTTGATGCGGTTTTTTACTTCCGTGCGAAGCCGGGGCAGGTCGCTAGTAATATATAAATGAATCGCAAAATCTGTTGGTAAGCGAATATCTCAACAACGCTTAGACGAATTTGGCCAATTGTTTTTTTAAATGTTTGTTTAAGTCGAAGGATGGGTTTTACAGCGAGAAAAATTCGAATAATTGCCGGGGAAAACCCTAAAGACAGCCCTTTTCTATAGGATAAAAGTTGGCATTGAGATTCAATCATAGTTATAGTTAAATAGTTGAATCCGAGATGGCGCGCTGAAGTGCATTATTAGCAATTCTTTATATAGGGGAATTAGTTTCTTTAAACGGCACCTAAAATTGCGAATCTTATTGATAGAATTGACATCATTTCATTTCTAGAACAAGTGAAAGTAAACACGAATTACAATTTTATTATACACTACCGCACACGGCCACGGCGGGACGAAGTCGCTGTTTCAAAGCAAAATAGGAATAAATAAATTAAATTCAGTGTTGTTATTGAACTACATTGAAAAATCTTAAAGAAATAATTTTTTAACCTCAATACTGTTTGACAACGACTTTGGAGTTATAAATAGCCAAATATCAATAATGTTTTTAATTCACGTTACATAACCAAACTTAACCATAATGTGTGCATTATAACTAGGTAGTATAATATTTTTTAAAGCATTTTTAAAACGTTTTTAAAATAAAAATACTAAAATTCATTAAATTTACGCACTTGAGCTATGAAATTAAATAACATTTGCTTTAACTGTTAATTTTAGAATGTGGGTAAAATTGTGGTAAGATGGATAATGACATTATTAGCTAAATGATAGATAAACTCACAAGGCAGCGAGACAATAACCAATATGACATATTTGAAATGTCCGGTGCATCCAGAGTATGGCATAAAGTGTCCGGTACTAGGTGCCACTAAAACTATACTTTTTCTTACCAAAGTTTGATTGATAGTATTAATTATTTTTTAACAGAGGTTGCATTTTTGTTATTTTAATTGGATTTCTAACTTTGTTATCTACTATATGTCATAATTTAATTAACATTTCTTCAAATATTTTTTGATTTATTTATAAATAACCTTAGGTGTCCGCCACTAGGGGACTTCCCCCTAATTAGTTTCTTTAAAATAAAATTGCGAATCTTTTTGATAGAATTGACACATTCTATGTCTAGAACAAGAGAGTAAACACGAATTACAATTTTATTATACACTACCGGGACGAAGTCGCGTGCCAAAGCTAGGAATAAATAAATTAAATTCAGTGTTGTTATTGAACTACATTGAAAAATCTTAAAGAAATAATTTTTTAACCTCAATACTGTTTGACAACGACTTTGGAGTTATAAATAGCCAAATATCAATAATGTTTTTTAATTCACGTTACATAACCAAACTTAACCATAATGTGTGCATTATAACTACTATAATATTTTTTAAAGCATTTTTAAAACGTTTTTTAAAATAAAAATACTAAAAACATTAAATTTACGCACTTGAGCTATGAAATTAAATAACATTTGCTTTAACTGTTAATTTTAGAATGTGGGTAAAATTGTGGTAAGATGGATAATGACATTATTAGCTAAATGATAGATAAACTCACAACGCAGCGAGACAATGACCAATAAAACCACTTTTAATTAAAGTGCATCCAGAGTTCTCATAAAGTTCACAGCCACTAAAACTCTACTTAATCCTACAATTCAATTACTTCCCAAACAATTAATTGTCTTCATAATATCAAAAATTAAATCAATTAATTTTATTTTTTCTCTCTTAAAACTTAAGTAATTTTTGTGGTGCCGCATTACTGACAAATTGATGGAATATTTTCGTCACTGATGATAATTGGAAGCCGTCGGTATTCGATTAATGCCTCCGTCGGCTTCTTTTTCACTCAGAATTAGTCACAAAAACAAATTTTTGTAAAAAATAAAAACTATTTATTTTTATATAATACATATGCAACCAAACACACACATCGAAACCATAAATGGAAGCATAGCATATTTAAAAGTATTCAAGTGTTTTGGAATTTAATTCGGTGTTTGCGGTGCACACACAGCGTCCGTAACCCTTCGAAGCTGTTTCTTTTTTCGTCGCCGACGAGCGACACGTGTTCAGATCGGTATCTCTTCTCCGTCGGGCGCGCGCGCTGCGGATTGTGATGCTGATGCTGATGATATCATCACCAAACAACACATCTACACCAACACGCATCAATTTTGAGGTTAGATTTGAATGTAGGTAATTTATATCGATGCATTTTATTTTATTTGTCGTTGTTTTTTTGTAGACGCGTCCGGAAGCAAGGTGCAAAACCTCATTTTCATAATATATTGGTAAATATTTTAATTCAGTCTGGAATTAACACACGCGAGCGCATCCAGCAACGAAAAGCGTCGAAAACTTGCTTCTTGGTGAACCCAAAGTAAACTAAAGTAAGAAATAAACATCGCCGAAGACGACCTCGCATTTATTCGTAATTATCATATAAATTACACCACTTTTTCACTCACTGTTTTGCATAGCTATATAGCTATTGATTCACTTTGTTTCATTTTCAGGCGCAAATTGATGTTATTTTAATAATTAAGAAATTAATTAACGAATCACAGCTGAGACTAGCAGTAATTTATATGAATTTATGCAAAACTTGGTAAATTGTGTTGTCACACTTGTCATAGTTTATAATTTAATATCATAAACGCGACTGCATGCTGGACATGTAAACAATATTAGTTATAATTAACTTAATTAACTAAAACACTAGTTGTAAACTATAAAAATTATAGAAAATGTTAGAGTGATACTTTCTAGTTGTAGATAAATAGAGTTAAGCGCATTGTGTAGGTGAGGTGTAAAACTGAATATTTCTGATGTAATTAATTGCTTTATCAACTTTATGAACTGTTTGCTAATTAGTCGCATTCGTGGTGTTTTGCAAATTTTATGAATATTAATATTTTAGTAATTAATTGTAATTATTAAAACATATTGAAATATTTATCTCCGCTGCAGGATTAAACCTGATACTGATTCTAAGTTTAATTTAATTTAATTTCAATATGTTTTAATAAAGTTAATAATTACCTACGTACCTAAGTAGGTATTGGTATTATACATTTATGGATTTATATGAGTGGCTAGGTACGTCGTTTGCGAATGAATTATTGGATCTTTAATGGATAACAAGATCGCGGTACAGCACCTCAACATGCGTGGATTAATTAGATTTGCTTGAGACGTTTATGTTGTAATTTACGTCACTGATATTGATATCGAAGGAAATGGTGTAATTTATTAATCTGAATGTGTGTTATCAAAGTGCGTATGAAAATTTTATTTTAGTTTGCATTGATAATAGGTATTTTCAATCATTTTTAGGTTAGATTTTCAAGCATTCTGCGAATAGTTTCGTTTTGTTGCTTTTTTTTTTTCAATTACTTAAGTAATAAGAAATAGAATTTGGAAATAGAAATATTTTGCATATGTAAAGCAGATTTGGAGAAAAAATATTAAGTGCTCGTTGAATTCGAGTGATTTTTATGAAATTTTGAGGTTATTTTAAGTTAAAGTTGGTTAAAAGACGACTTTTAGCATTAATGCACTTCTGGTTGCATATTTAGTACGCTCGTATAACAACTAATCAAAATAAAATACATTTATTTATTTATAGTAAAACGCACACATGCAGGTAAGCGCACCATATAATTACTCGAATAATGTCAACGCCAATTATCTAATTAACTTAGTAACATGTTATTTTACCTGATGAAGTTAATGGTAAGTGACTTAAGTAGGCATCAACTCAACCCAAGCCACAAAAAATTTATTCTTCACAATTTTTTCATAAGTAATTTTTGTTTAGTGAGAAATTTTCATTGTTGCCTCATTAAACAAACACGATGCTTAATTAAATGCGTAATTAACTAATTACGTGTCTTATAGGTTTAAAATTCACTTCTTAGATTTCAATTCTAATTATTTATACTTAATTCCAGTAGGAAAACACTTGAAATACATTTAAATTTTTTAATAAAACATTTAATTCATAGTTCTTGCTTAATTTAATTAAAAGTATGTTTGAAAAGTTGCTTAACGAGATTAATTTTAATGTTTTTCTTTCGGCGATTATCTATTAATGATATTTTAATATTTTCAGCGCCATCACATTGATCTTGAGACTTTCGGGCAGAATTCAAGCATGACAAGACTGAGGCAGTGAGCATGCGTAATTAATAACGTAATTAATCTACCACCGCCGTTAATGATTATTTAAGAGCATCCGGTCGCGATACCTACTTGCACTGGGCGCAGGTATTTTATGGATATGGATAATTAATTTAAAAATTTCAGCCACCGAAGATTTAAATGCCAGATTTCAAGTTCACAACATAACTAATCGTAACTCGTAACAATCAAATACTTAAGTACGTTTAATTTCATAAAAATAATTAAATTAACTTAAAACTTACTCTTTTTTAATCGAAAATCATTCTTGTATCTTGTTTCCTTTCGGCAATTTGTCAGTTTCACTAAAAACTTTGTTTTACTCGATTGGCACTGTTTTTTAACCAGTTTTTTACGTGTTTTACAAATGTTTTAACTTTTTATAAGACTTGTCGATGGAACCTATGCTAATTTAAGCACGCACGTCGATATAATCAATAGTAACGAATTGATTTATGGCTGTTGAAGTGGAAGTGCGGCCCGGGCGTCGGAAGCGTCGCCAAGCGTCGGATCGAATTTCGGTTGGTTGGCTGTGGGTGTTCAGGTTGTGAACGGCGGACGGTTTCGATATACGCGCGGCGCAGCGTCGAGACCGCGACTGAGCGCGCCCGCGGCCCCACGATGTCGCGGCTCCGCCTTTGTTTCACCGTGGATTTTTTTTTTCAATTTTTTATTCAGCTGCGCGTCGCGCCTCGTATTGGTAGGGGCTTTCATGAGAGGGGGCTTAAGAATGTCTGACCGTGTATGCTAATTTTTAAATTATTGGATTTTCTGGTAAAATACTAAAAGTTTGATATTAAAAAATTAATAAAATATTAAAAATAATATTTTGGAACAGATTTTAGAAAGATAAGTCCAAGAAAAAAATTATAGAAAAATTAAAGCAAGTTTTAACGAATTGATTAACTTATTTTGCAGAGTATTTCTTGTTTTTTAAATAAAAATGGGAAAAACAATGGGAAAAACAAAATAAAAATATATTTCCAATTAAAATTACATTTAATTATCAATAATAAAATTTAAATAGTATAAAAATTACTAAGGTCCAATATATGATCATATCTTTATTATGAACAAGCTTTTGCCCGCGACTTTGTCCCGGTAGTGTTTAAGAAAAATATAATTCGTGCTTACTCTCTAGTTCAAGACATAGGTATTAGGTAGGGAGAGTAGCCATATTTGGACCATTTTTATATTTTTGATTTATAGAGCCACATATAAACTGTCAATAAAAATTAAGTAGCGGAAAAGTAACTCACAAGGCTTACCAACAAAATGATATTTTTGGTTTAAGTAAAATTATATTTATACCCCTCAAATTTCAATTTAAAAAATTGTGTTTTGGTCCAAATTAAGAAACCGGTTTCCTAAATTGGACCGCGCGGTTTCCTAAATTGGACCATGGTTTTAACGGCAATTGACACAATAGTAAATTTTAGTTTTAGCACTAACACAAGCACATTTTGTATAAACCAAAGTGCGGCATTTCATACAGTGGATCATTTCGAAGATTTGTGCTCGTCCACAAGCTTTTCTAGGAGGTCGAAAAATGATATACATTTTCCTGTTAAAACCCCGGTGCCTGTCTTCGGTCCAACTTGGGCAACTTGAAGAATTTATATTTAATGATCAACGACAATCTTAATATAACATAACCTCTCAAAATTAATACTATAAATTATAGATAAATAAAGAAGCTTTCTGATGATAATATAATAATCAGTAAAACTAACGCTTAAACGACTTGACAGCTCTTGCACTTACGTCGTTATAATAGATTTGATAATCAATGATACACGAAGTTGTTGCCACGACGAAAGCACGCGGCAAGTTTTAACCCAAATAGTTGCATTAATTGTTTATAAATACGAGTAAAACGAGGGGCCAGTCTATTTTGCACAAACTTCAACAGTCCGCGGATATCGTGGTGGTCCAACTTAGGCGCTGGTCCAAATTAGGCTACCTTCCCTATGTGTCAATTCTATCAATAGGATACGCAATTTTATTTTAAAGAAATTAATTATATGAAAAATTAATAATAATGCACTTCAGCGCGCCATCTCGTATTCAACTATTTAACTATAACTATTATTGAATCTCAATGCCAACTTTTATCCCATGGCTGGCCAATCCAGGCCCGCGGGCCACGAGGTGGCCCGCCAGGACATTTGAATTTGCCCGCCGCACAAACCAAAGTTGGAACTTTTGTATATGTATAATATTTTATGTACGAATGGCCATAGTCTGTGGCCCGGTGCTGCCGCATTCTAAAAAATTGGCCCTCCAGGAAAATCCATTGGCCAGCCTTGTTTTATCCTATTTCTATAGGGCTGTCTTTAGGGTTTTCCCGGCGATTATTCGAATTTTTCTCGCCGTAAAAACCATGCTTGGATTTTAACGAACATTTAAAAAAAAGAATTAGCCAAATTGGTCTAGGCGTTGTTGAGTTATACGCTTACCAACAGATTTTGCGATTCATTTTTATATTATTGATAAATTAATATTATTTTACTTATACCTATGACAAATACCTAAGATAAATTTAATTAAGCTGACAGGAAAAATATGAGTTTTTAAATTTTATTAATCATAAAGCAATATTTATCTGCTAAAATCAAAATATAAATATTTAATAATTTAATATTTAACTTAAATTGTAATTACATTACTAAAAACTACCAAAATCTAATTTATTACCCAAAATAAATTAAATAAAAATTGGTTTTAAGTTGAATAATTCAAAAACGTGTTTGAACAACTCTACGTAATGACTAATTCAACTTAAAAAATATTAATTTACCGAATAATGTTCATAGGTAATAATATTTTTAATGAATATTTGTACGATGTGTTTAACAAAGTGTTGTAATTTCCTAATTACACCCTAAAATTAGTTAAGTAATGTTTATTTGTTGTTAGTTTTACGTCTTTAATCATAATTCCAGTAATTTTAGTAGATACCTACCTACCTACCAACATAGTAGCAAATGATAATGACGACACGCTACCGACTCGTTAATTACGCCGATATTTGACATTCTCCTACCACATCATCATAAATGTTTACAGTCTGTTTTATTCCTTTACGACTAGCAATAATATTCTAACTTCTACGCTTGTTTTAAAAGCTCAATGAAAACAAATTTAACTTTTAAAATAAAATTTTGTTAATTTCATTAGTTTTTTTACAGTAGAAGTAAATATTAATTAATTCATATTTTTGAAAATATTTTTATTAAACATTTTATTATTATTACTTGTAGATGTTTGTGTGTAAGAGAGGTGTTATTAATTTGCTCGTTGGTGGTATAGAAATTCTTTGATAAAAGCGTTTATTCCAATATTAAATTTATTCCGTCTCTGCGATAGGCTTAATGCGATGATGATGGCGATGATGAAAAGCGAGACGCTATGCAAATGATCGCAGACGCGTCGTAAGACGAAAAACAGGTAGCTCGACATTGATTGGTTGCTTTGCTGGTGATTATTTATACCAAGTTAATAAATCATTTCGAGTTCATTTTAGTGCTCAAGTTGCTTAATCTATTTTTAAATTAAAATTTAATGAAAAAATAATTGAAAAATACAAAAATATTGAATTAAAATTGATTTTTTTTTTTCAATTTGCAGGTGTAGGGGAAGGAATATTTAATATCTACTAAAATTACTTATAATTTTTAATATTAAAAATATTTTAATGAAATTAAATTACATCTTAGGTACCTACTAAACTTAATTAAAAATCAACTTTAAACGCAATAAAATCGTTTTTGAAGAAACTTCAATTGAAAACACCTAAAAACCGATTACGTAAAATTTTTGTATGGTTTATGATACATTCAGTAATATATTGAAATAATATTGTTCTTAATAGTAGGTACTTCATAACTACATAATTAAAGGATTTTTAATATAATTTTTTTTATTAATTTACATGGTGTTATTCCGCACGGTAAGCTAATGCGCAGGCGCCATTTTCACTCCGTGACTAATACCTTAGACTAAAATACTTTAGTCACGGCCTAGGTCGTCCGTGTTTAAAGTACCTACCTACCTCTTTTTATGTTTAAAAACCGTGGAAAAACTGACGCTTTAAAGATGGAAGTAAAAAATAATTAATATAGAAACATATGTGATACAATTAACAGAGATAATAGGTAGGTACCTACCTACGACAAAAATGTCAAAAAATTTTCTTCAGAATTTTGCAAGATTTTTTATTCAAATTTTTTGTAAATTTGTAAATTTTTATAAATAAAATAAAGGCTTAGGATTTATATCTATACCTATAAGTAATGAATAAATACTTTATTTATAATTCGGTTATTTTTGGTGGTTTTGCCGATAAAATTGAAAGCACCAGCAGTAATAATTCAGAGTCGCCTCTTGGACTGGAAGCAGATGGCGCCTCGCTGGCGTGCGCGGCATCTCTCCTGGCGTTTTTATCCCGAGAAGGAACGAACGAAGAGCCGGTCCGTGCGCCGCGGTAAGAGCATCATAAATAAAAGCCTCCAGCCTCGGCGCGCATAAAATAAAACGTCGCGCGCCTAAGTAGTTTCTCTGCTCAGTGCCTCTTCGCCTTCGTTTTTTTTTCTTCTCTTATTCTTCTGGTTTACTCTGCTGCGCTGTTTTTTTTTTCGATACGCTTGCTTGTGACGTTGGGAATCAATTTAGTCCTGTACAGGCTTGTCGCCCTGTCCACTATGTCGTTCGACAAGCCGGCCGACGCATTACTGCAGCTTGTTTCGAAAGAGTAGTCAGTCTTTTAAGTTTTAATAATGGACATCGTTTTGTATTGTCTTTAGGTTGGTTTAGTTACAGTTGTAAGAAACGACAATTCCAATGATTTTTTGGTTGTGCGTTTTTATTTTTATTTTTTGGTGTTGGTTGGTTTGTTGCAGCAGTGGACAAAATAAAGGTAATAGGGAGCGATGTGGGGCTTGATGGGATTGTGCTCGGATGGCGATTGGCGCGGCCGGAACGTGCGACGCTCCTTCCTATCGGATAATCGGTGCACGCCCAGGCGATTAATCGAAGCTATAATTCACGTGGCGCGCGCACACGACGCGACGCCACAGGCACGCAGGCGGTGGCAGTTTTACCGCTGGCGCCATGACTTTTGTCCCTTTCGAATTTTATTCAGTACTTACATATCTAAGATTATTTCTTTTTTTTTGATTGTCAGGCTTTGTTTTCTGATGTATTACCACCTACCAAGTATTTTGATTATTATAATCAATGTTTAAAATATTTTTCGGTTTCGACTTGCTTAACTTCTTAATTTCTGTATTTAATTTAGAATTAGAATCAAATATTTATCAATCTTCAACATATTAAAACATAAGAAATGATAGGTAAAACATTTTTGACGTGGTTAATTAAAATAAATCAAAAACTAATCAATTTTTTTGAAATTTATTCTTGGAAAATGAAAATAACAGCAATATTCATCAAAATTTCATGTTTTTTTTTATTCTTACGTAAGATATTAAAATAATATTACAAGAACTAAAGTATTCTGCTTTTAAAAAGGCTGTCAAGTAGGTATTTAAAATTGTTTTAAACATTTACCATATGATAACTGCTTTGATTTCAATATTCTACATTATAAAATTTATTTTTAACCAGCTTTTGCCCGCGACTTCGTCCAGGTAGTGTTTAATAAAAGTGTAATTCGTTTTTTTGTCAATTCTATCAATATGATTCGCAATTTTATTTTAAAATTTAATTATATTGAAGCCAGCTTTTGCGGCGAAGTCCGCGCCCACAACATCCGCGACCTACCCCCAGCGGAAGAGGCCGCATCCCAAGCCGACGAGCCACGAACACCGCCGACCAGATTCGCTGAGGGTGCTCAGCAAGGGATGCTGAGCGACTCGGCCTCTTTACCATCAACATCGCTCGACGCCGCACGCATTATCGACCTCTTCCGAGCATCATCAACAATCAAGCACAACCTACGCATCAATATAAAGAACTGCTAATAATGCACTTCAGCACGCCATCTCGGATTCAACTATTTAACTATAACTATGATTGAATCTCAATGCCAACTTTTATCCTATAGAAAAAAGCTGTCTTTAGGGTTTTCCCGGCAATTATTCGAATTGTTCTCGCCGTAAAAACTATCCTTGGTCTTAAACGAACATTTTAAAAAAAGAATTGGCCAAATTCGTCTAGGCGTTGTTGAGTTATGCGCTTACCAACAGATTTTGCGATTCGTTTTATATTATAGATTAGTTTTTCATCCATTGCCTATGCTTTTTAGTTATTTTAACACAAATTGATATTTAATATCTGTAAAATCAATTATTTTCATCATAGGTAGATGAATATATAAATAAGGATTAGAAATAATAAGTACCTACTAAATCAAACCCTAAATCTATTGACTATTAATCCTACCAACTACATAGATAAGTATTCGTATAAGAAATAAAAGACTATAAATTGTTTATCGTTTTACAAACGTTCCTTTAAAATCAGAGATAATTGATGTGAAAGCTCATCGTTTCAAAACACTTACAAACTAGCTCTGCCATGCAGAATAAATAACAATAAAACAATCACTGCATATTGTTGTTGTTCGGATCTTCGGGCTCCTCCTGGTCGTGATCATTATTGCGAAACATGGTTGAAGTGGACGTGATAACAGTCGTCTGCTCTTCGGGATTCTGTACGTGAAGATTACCCGCAGGAACGGTCACAGGTTCCCTGTATTCGTGCACTGGTTGCAATGGAGCCGGAAGATTTTGGCTACAATGCAAATATTATAAATACTTAACTGAAAACGCAATTACAATAAATTACTTCGTTTACCTGTGCAATATTTCATAGGGTCCCTGCTGGAGCATGTATTGTGGTTGTTCAGTATATTGCAAATTACCAGCCGGAACATACCCGGAAGTAGACGGCACTAAAATATTAATATTTTTAATAAACAACTAATTTTAATTGATTGATTTTAATTGTTTGCTTACTGGGTTGACCAGGATGATTAAATTGATGATGATGACCAATATTCGGATTCATTCCATTCAAGCGTTGTTGATGATGCTGTATAGTCGTGGATGGACCAGCCTGCGTGTTTGATTTGGGTTTACGTTTTCTGGTTTGAATCGTTTCCTTTTTCATTGTTAAAGGACGATTTACCTAAAAATACACAAATTGTATGTTAACTATATGCAACCCAATATACACATTTTGTATAGTAGTATAAATATAACACGAGTATATTTAGTATTGTCGCCAGATTATATTTAAATACTGACCCCGTGAAGTTTATAATACAATCCACAAGAGTTGCAGACTGGTTCACCAGAGTTATTCCTCCTCCAGAGAGTGGTTTTTGTTGTCTTACAGTTAGCACACTCCACACCAGTACGACGATTCTGCGTGGCAGCTTTCTGACCCTTATTTGCCTTAAATTTTAATTTTAATGATTATTAATAATTTAAAAAAAGATTTATATGCAACACTCACATTAGTCCCACATTTCTTTGGATGCCTCGCTGGAGGATGAGCAGCCTGCCGGTAGAGAGGACGACCACCTTGATAGCAATTGATACAAATATGATTGTTCATTGCATCAACCATAGTCGCTCCAGGCGTGCCGCAACTAGCACATTCCCGATGTGCATTGATGTGCTGATCAGGTGGTATCAAAATATGCTGAGGATAATTTGCTGGATAAGCATTCGGGTCCATTCCTTGAGTTGATTCAAACGGGATTGTTTGGTAAATAATATTACCCTCTGGCATACCATTGAAATATCCCCCTGCACCTGGAGGATAAGCAAGTTGCTCATACTCCTGATCCTGAATCGTGGTATAGGTATAAGTCGGTGGTCCCACAGAAAGCTGCCCATCTTCAGATTCATAAATTTCAGCATTCGGTAACGAATTCGAAATGTATGGTTGTATCTGTTGTTGTATCTGCTGGTGATGATGCTGCTGATGTTGTTGGTGTTGTAAGTGTTGCTGTGAAGGTCCTGCCTGCATATGAACACCAGGTTCCACTTGTTGCAGGTGCGCAATTTCATGCCGCACGACAATATTACCATCCGAAGTCAACGTACGAATAACTGAGGTGTTAGTGGGTTTTACACTATTCTCACTAGTTTGGACTAGATGTTGATGTTGCGGATGTTGTAGCAGCACATGGTGTTGTGGTTGCGGAGACATATCCTGTGATGGTCCTGGTGTCCCCGGTGAAATTGCAACATTCCTCGCCTCTCTTTCTTCACCTTCTTCCTCGACCATACCTTGAACGGAAGTCAACACCTCACCACCTTCAACTTCCGGGGTTGGTTCCTCTTCTACTTGATCCTGACTATCACCTTGATCTACAATCTCCTGATGAGAGTATTCTACAATCTCTTGGTTTTCAACAATCTCTTCCTGTACCAATTCAGGTGGTACCGGTTCGGTCAATGTCTCCGGGGTATTGGGTTCGCCTTTCACTGCCTCTTCGGTAGGTGGAAGTGGTTCAGGAGACTGCTCGCTGGCGTCCTCCTGAGGTGGTTGTGGTTCGGTCATCTGTGTGATATTAATATGGTTTTATTCAGGAGCATGAAACAATATGCGACGAGTGTGAAATACTGCGGCGTTTACCTTACACGTCATGACTTGGTGAGGTAAGATCGGCGACTAAAACACACGAAAGGTAGGAACGCGAGCGATCGCGACAGTCGTAGAACGGAGGATTTCCGTTTTTCGGTTGTTTCAATATTGAACGAGACGCGCGCGTCTGTTTGTCGATGGCACGAGCCTCCAAACGGACATGTATATTAACAATAAAACACATTCTTTCTAAATTCATTCATTCAATATAAAATAATTATTGTTTTTATAAATTTAATAAAAAATCGCCAAAACAACTAAAAATTAATTTTTTACAAATTTTTTGGGATAAATTTTTGAATATTGATTTTATTTACAACTTAATACTTTTGAGACAACATCGGAAGTGATGAGTAAGCGCAAACACCGAATTTATGACTATGACGCTTTAAAAAAATCATTGCGACCTAATTCAGCTGGAAATTCCCCATTTTACCGTCCCACGCATTGCACAAACACGCAGTTTGCTTTAATTCATTACGTAATTGTTGCAATCTAACTAAAATTAGTGTACCTAGTAGGTAATTTTATCATCTTTAACTTATCTCTTAGATAACTGAAAATAACTACGTTTTCTTTGTTTTCTTTCGGAGTTTTGATGTCATCAGCAATACAAATATACTGCTTAGATACTTGCATTACTTCTGCTTCTTTCTGCAACCCTTCTAACACACCTAAAAGCACCAGCTGAGCACCGCCTGGAAGGACTCGGCTTGAATTTTTTCACTGAGATAAAATTTATCAATGTATGTACACGTATCTGCTTATTATCATCATCCAAACAGGTTTATCTTATTATATCTTGGTATAAATTGCGGGGTGATTTTTAGATATCTCAGTCTGTAACAGTTACAAAGATAAACTCATGCGGATAGTTGAGTTTTCGTCGCGTAGGGATTGAATTTTCCTAATATAAATCCGTTTGCGTCATGATGCTAAGTGGAATAAGTGTAATTCACACGTGTGTGTTTTAATAAATGTGTTTTGGGGGTGCGTTTTGTGTGCGTATTGTGCAAGCGCGAATTCGAAGCGGATACATTCTCGGAATTGAGGTAAAGTACGAATTCGAGTGTTTCGTGTGCAAGGAATTTAATACAACGGCTTTTGGAGCACAAGCTGGCTACGTGGCGTACAGTCGCAACTGTAAAGGTGAAAACGGTGCGTCAGATAAGGCTGATAACTGATAACAAGTACAAATAAACGCCGACTGTGCATCGCTTTGAGATCATCATTTAATTTAGCTGAAAAGTACAATTTACTAAACGAAAAACAACTCATTTTATAGCTAAATATTTAATTTTTTTATAAAAAGCATAATTTTACTATTTTACAAAAGTTATAAAGATGTTTTTTTAGTGATGCAATGTACGTTACTTTAGTTTATATTAATTTTTTGCTGAAAATCAAACAATTTTTGCGTTTTTTCTTAGTTTTAAACGCTGAAATTGGTTGGAAAATTGAAAATGACCTGCATTTGTAATCATACTATGTGATTATGTCAAGTTATAAGCTGATATCCAAAGTTTAAGATAGTAAAGGTACCATATCTCTCTTCCATAATAACGATAACAAAGCATGCGGCTTGTTTGCTTTTTTAATAAACTTCTTATGCAAGCGTTAAGGTTAAACTGTATCCTAGCATATTTACCGGTAAAATCGGCATTGATTGGAGTAGCACATTTCGAATTAGCCACGAAATCGAAGCTCAACGCCTGGGCGTTGTCTCTCGACGACAAGATGGCCGCCCGGCATTGCCACGTAACAAAAGTGCATGCACATCGCAAAACTCGCGAATTATTAACTTCAACGCTTGATTCACGCACATTATTTTAGTATTTTTGATGTAAAGAAACTTCTTCAGGTGAGAATACGATTGACAATCGGCAGAAAATCATATGGTTTATGATAAAAGGAGAGACTGATAAAATTATGAATGCCGTGATTATATAGATTGTCGGATAACATATAATCAGACTTTTTCACTTTGTAATATCTGAACTCTTCCTGGGCGATTAGAAAATCGCATTGTTTATTATTTGCACCGCGGTAATTGTTAAAAGTCTTCGTTGTATTGGAACGCGCGACTGATTTTGGTTTGGTTAAATTAAGTTAACGCATGATAATTGTATTAAAACTAGCGTGAAGCAGTTGAATAATTAATAAGTAATTTTTACTAACCTTATGCATGTTGCACAATGTTAAAAGACAAAGTGTTGATGTCGATGTAGATGAATAGCGTTAGAAGAATTCGCAGATGCTGTCCATTAGACGATTGAAGCTTTACGATTGATATCAATCAACGCAGTGATGATATGGTATCGTCGCCGAGCTGAAAGTTGCTCGCGCCCCCACTTCCTCGATTTTGATTGCAGCGACATTACGCGAGTACTCGTGTGTTCCGCGCCTTGCGCGTTTAATATGCTGCTGTACATATTTTTTTTAACACTAAACACATTTGCATGTATTTGAATTATTTCATTAGTGTTTAGTCTTATATTAGCAAAACTTAATAGTTTAGTGGAATGTAGTTCTGTAGGTATCTATTTATAGAATAATTGTCTTGCTAATAAATAAGTAGATAATAGTTTATAACGGAGTTTTATAATTTCTAAAACGCCTGTACAAATCAATTAATCAATTAAGAGATTTTTAAGGGCATGTAATAACTGAAGAGACCCTTTACTATAAGATCTGTAAACTTTCAGTAGCGATGCGCCACACTTACAAATCTTTTGATTGGTATTATATATTATCAATACCTACTAGTTTACACAATAATTAGACGATAAAAATTGTCTTATTGCAAAATATATAAAAACTGATTTCAAATCATTTATCTTAGTGACATTTTATTATTGCATTAATATATTGCATTGAAAATGTGCAATTGAAATAAGTTCTTTTATTGCAGATGACTCAATAAAATCTGATTTACAATATCTTATACTAGTAAAATTTTTAAATTAGGGCCACATTTGGTTAGTTAAAAATATTTTTATTCGAATAAAAACTCTTTTAGATTAGAAATTCATATTTTGTGGTAATACCTACCTAAATATTTAAAGCAACATTACAAAAGCGTAACATGTAGTTATAAATACCTATGTAGGAATGTTAATACAAATAATAATAAAATGGACTTTTGGCAGTTAGATGATAATAATTTAATGAATATGAATGTGAATAACAGTAAAATCGGCAAAAATATCAAAATTACACAAAATAAAGTCAGTAAAATCTTCGAACAACTCTCGCACACCCGACGTCTAAAACTTCTTAATGATGACTGGTTTAAAAAGGGCGTCTGTCGTCTTTATAGCCCTAATGCACTTGAAGTGTGCTCATTCGTCTGAAAGGCTCTCGAATATTAGCAGTTCAATCCTACAAATAACTGTTAAAATAAGTAAGTATTAAATCAAATCCTAAATCTAATGACTATGAATTCTACCAACTACATAAATTGCTATGAAACATCATAGTTTCAAAACATTTATGGACTAGCTCTGCGATGCAGGATAAATAGCAATAAAACTATCACTGCATATTGTTGTTGTCTGGATCTTCGACCTCCTCCTGGTCGTTATCATCAGCCGGACGATTTTGACTGCAATACAAATATTAGAAATAATTGAAAACACAATTAGAATAAATTGCTTATATACCTGGGTAATATTTCATTGGATCCAGGCATGGGCATATATTGTACTGGTTCAGTATGTTGCAAATTCTCAGGCGGAACATACCCGGAAGTAGACGGCACTAAAATATTATTATTTACAATAGTCAACTAAAGTATAACTTTAATGTGTTGGTTGCTTACTGGGTTGACCAAGATGATTAAATTGATGATGGTCATTCGGATTCATTTCAGTCAAGCGTTGTTGATGATGCTGTGCGAGTATAGTCGAAGATGGACTAGCCGGCGTGATTGATGTGCGTTTTCGTTTTCTGGTTTGAATCGTTTCCTTCTCATTGCTAAGGACGATTTACCTAAAAATATAGCCAATTGTATGTTAACTTTATGCAACCCAATACATACAGTTTGTTAAATATAAAACGAGTACGTTTAGTATTGTCGCAAAATTATATTTAAATACTGACCCCATGAAGTTTGTAATACAATCCACAGGCGTTACAAACTCGTTCACCAGAATTATTCCTCCTCCACTGAGAGGTTTCTGTGACCTTACAGTTAGCACACTCCACACCAGTACGTTGATTCGGCGTGGCAACTTTCTGACCATTATGCTCGTCATAAATTAAACGTTTTTAATTTGATTAAAAATAAATAAATATTTTGAATGAATAAAATCTTATCCTGTGATGGGCTTGATGTCCCCGGTGAAGTAACATCATTATTGGCCTCTCTTTCTTCCCCTTCTTCTACGACTATATTTTGTATGGTAGCCAACCCTTCACCACTTGTAACTTCCAAAGTTGGTTCCACCTCTACTTGATCTATACTATCACCTTGATCAATAATCTCCTGATAAATGATTTCTCCAATCTCCTGATGTTCAACAATCTCTTCCTGTACGAATTCTGGTGGTATCAGTTCGATCGATATCTCCGGGCTGTTGGTTCCTACTTCCACAATCACCTCGCTACGTGAAAATGGTTCAGAAGACTTCTCACTGATGTCTTCCTGGGGTAGTTGTGATTTGGTCGCCTGTAAGGTAATAATATGTACCTAGTTTTATTCAGAAGCAGAAAATGTACAATGTACAAAAGCAAATAATCGCGTCGTAGAACAACGCTTTTTGTCAATGTTCACCACCAAATTGACCCTTAAAACATTGTGGCGATCTAATTCACCTAAAAATTCTCCATTTTAACTTTACTCGCATTGTCCAAACACGCAGTTTTCTTTAATTCATTACGCAATTGTTTCGATATAGGTAACTAAAATTAGTGTAGGTATATAGGTAGTAGGTAGGGAGAGTAGCCATATTTGGACCATTTTTATATTTTTTGATTTATAGAGCCACATATAAACTGTCAATAAAAATTAAGTAGCGGAAAAGTAACTCACAAGGCTTACCAACAAAATGATATTTTTGGTTTAAGTAAAAATTATATTTATACCCCTCAAATTTCAATTTAAAAAATTGTGTTTTTGGACCAAATTAAGAAACCGGTTTCCTAAATTGGACCATGCTTTTTAACGGCAATTGACACAATTGTAACTTTTAGTTTTAGCACTAACACAAGCACATTTTGTATAAACCAAAGTGCGGCATTTCATACAGTAGATCATTTCGAAGATTTGTGCTCGTCCACAAGCATTTCTAGGAGGTCGAAAAAATGATATACGTTTTCCCTTGTTAAAACCCCGGTGCCTGTCTTCGGTCCAACTTTGGCAACTTGAAGAATTTATATTTAATGATCAACGACAATTTTAATATAACATAACCACTCAAAATTAATACTATAAATTATAGATAAATAAAGAAGCTTTCTGATGATAAAATAATAATCAGTAAAACTAACGTTTAAACGGCTTGACAGCTCTTGCACTTACGTCGTTATAATAGATTTGATAATCAATGATACACGAAGTTGTTGCCACGACGAAAGCACGCGGCAAGTTTTAACTCAAATAGTTGCATTAATTGTTTATAAATACGAGTAAAACGAGGGGCAGTCTATTTTGCACAAACTTCAACAGTCCGCGGATATCGTGGTGGTCCAACTTAGGCGCTGGTCCAAATTAGGCTACCTTCCCTATATTGTAGTGTATGTGTAATATAATAATGTCATGAGGCCAGCAATGAAAATATAATATTTAGACACATGCATTTATTGTGCTTCTTTTACAATCCTTCTCTAGAAAATGCTGTAAACTGCTTATCGGCATAAGATAAAATTTATCAATATTCATGTATGTACACGGAGCTTCCAATTATCATCATCAGAACATATGATATAGGAAACCTTGAGTCCCATATGTTATATTCGCTTAAAAGCGAAAACGGGTACGACTGAACAAACATGTGCTTTCCGTTCAAAACAACTTTAAACAATACATCAGAAGAAATATTTAACAAAATCCATGTAGAAAACAATACATGAATAGATGTATACCCAATATTTAACATGCAACACATATTTAGTGGAATATTACTGACCACCAATGCTTTCAAGCTTCACGAGAAATTGGATGAGCACGAGGAGCAAAACTATTTTTGCGCATAACTTCTCAATTCTGATTCGGCGGGAACTGATTAAAGAATATGCTTCTAGTTTGATTTCATGCTGTCCGAATACAGCATTTTAAGTTGAATAAAGTGCCTTCTAGTTAGAGAAAAACCGAGGTACGACTTACGTGACGGTACGACTTAAGCAACCTTCCCTAAATATCTACAACTGCGCAAATTTCGCACATTTGCACCTACGTCGTTATAATAGATTTGATAATGAATGATACACGAAGTTGTTGTCACGACGCAAACACGCGGCAAGTTTTAATCCAAATAGTTGCATTAATTGTTTATAAATACGAGTAAAACAAGGGGCCTGTCTATTTTTGCCAAAAATTTCAACAGTCCGCGTATATCGTGGTGGTCCTACTTAGGCGCTGGTCCAACTTAGGCTACCTTCCCTATGTTATATCATATGTGTGTAAGAATTGCAAAGCGATTTTTAGATATCTTGGTCTCTAACAGTTACATATAGGGATCCTAACCGTCCCGGATTGCCCGGCAGACTCCCGTAATAATGGTTTTCACGCGTCCACCTTTTGAGAGTTGGTTACAGACATAAACTAGTTACAAAGATAAACTCATGCAGATGGTTGAGATTTTGCAATATTTTACAGATATAAAATCAAAAGTAAATCAAGCCTCCGAAGCATGGAACGCATGCGCACTCTTGTGAATTTTCGCGTAATCTTTAGTCTCGTGATAAGAGATTTGTTCACGCTCAATGCGCATGCGTTATGTGCACAGATCATAACAAGAGTGCTGACGGGTTAAGGAAAGTTTTGTGTGTGTGGAATTTAATTGATTGGCTTTGGTGCACAAATTAATAACAAATATGCAAATAATTTGTATACGCTAGTAAAGTATCTTTGGCGCACAACCTCAGCGATGCCTTACGGCTTATTTTTAAATAGTGATTCATCTGAAACCTCGAGTTCTATAACTAACAGAGTAATTCAATGTGAATTAATAATTTAATAAAATGGATAAAAAGTATCAAATAGGACTTGTTGTTGATTGTAAAACACTCCAAGTAAAAACTCAGAACTGCGTGTGATCTGAACTGAACTGTGTGTTGAATAATTAATAAATAATTTTACCAACCTTATGCATGTTGACAATGCACAAAATGCACAAA